AAATCTCATGCCCAAAACGCTTTGCGTAATAGTGGCTTTAGGCATTGTATGTACTAGCCCTATCTATAAATCCATCACTCTTCGTAAAATCTCTTGTATGTATGTACCTTGCCTAAATAAATATAAACATTTGATTTGATACATAAGTTTGCAAACAGAAAATTAGTACTAATACCCATGTAATGATTATTACAGATCACTGAATGAGCGGCCAAAGCAATTTGTTTACATTGGACAAGAAAACGGGCACAACACTTGAAACAAAGTCATTAATACAGAACTGTACAGTCAGCCACGGGCTTTACCTTTGCCTTTTTTCTGGAAAACGCCCGGTATCTAATTTAGGTTAGTTGGGATAAAAAAGTTCAGATAACTGGTGGGATAGGCAGTCTGAATAAAAATGTGCAATAAAGATGGAACTAGTTTGCCCAGTGACCATACACAGCGCCACTTGAGCAGTGTTCACACACTAATGGCTCAGAAACTTTTAACTCTGCCATAGCATTAGATACATTAGAGTACATGGTGAAAGGCAGTCTGCTGCAGTTACCTCATCACCATTAATCTCCACTTCAGTCAACCCAACACTCATCATCCATCACCACCTTTTCTATCTAAATAACAATGCTCCATCAACTATGATCTTTAATTTAAGTTAACAAACGGATCAGAACTTCTCATATTGGCGAGTACAAACACAAAACTGTCGAATTTCTACAACAAAATTCTCAATCCCCCCCTCCCCCCCATAGCTTTTCAGAATGACAAACCATTTATCCGAACTCAACAGGTTATCCGTTCAGTCTCGGTGCCGAGAGGATCAGAATGTACGTGACCTACCGTATACCAAATAAAGCGTGTAGTAAAATAATAAAGCATTATAACAAAAATTATAAACTATAACTCACCAGCCCAACTTCTTTGTTCTTCTTCTTATCATCAATTACAACACCATCCATAGAGAAACTGTAGATACCAGTCTCAGAATTATGCCACAGAGGAGTATCAACTCTCACTGCAATTTCATTGCCAAAGTTGTGGAGACGCTTCACTCTCAGCAACACCTGTACAAAACAGACCATAATGAGGCCAGAACATTATCAAATTAGTAATATGATCCAGTCTCATGAAGTGATGGGGTGCTGCCATAGGTAACTGGTGGGGGGGCAAGGTAGGTGAGAAAGCGCTAAGCCATCACGACTATATAGCACTTGGAAGGGATGAGGATAAGGATTTGGGATAAGATGGAAGGAATGGTACCCAACCACTTTGACAGTGGGGGGGGGGGGGATTGAAACCCGACCTGCATGAAGCGAGATGGTGTTGGTGCTTGTCTATGCCACAGTAAATGGTATAATGAACGGTCGAGTCGTATACAGTTGTCCCTCTGTTCAGCAAGCAATACATTAGTAGAGTATAGGGAATTAAGCAAGTGTTATGTGTTGCATCCTGTTGAAGGTCTGTCGTTGGCCTAGGAGGACCTCGATTAGACAACAGACTTACTGTCACCAACAATTGGAACCCTTACCTCTATTACATTAATTTGTAATTTTTTTTTGCATAGCACCACCAGTCTATGCAAGACTCCACAGCTGCTGTCTATGGGTTAATAAAAACATTAATTTGTAAAAATTCACTAGGTGTACATTTTTATATGCTGATTAAGGTTAATGGGTTAAAAAGCTGCAAATTCTAAATAATTCAAGATATTATTACTTCATTACTACATATAAAGCCACTTCCTATTACAGTATAACTGGAATTTCCCTATGTAGCCCCAGCCTCTTATGTGAACCAAAATCAATACAGTACATATATTGAGTGCGTGTGGACTGAGAAGTCAGGTTCTCTTTGTTGGAGACAACACGTCATCGTATAGCGAGTGCATGTTATATCAAAATAATGCCCCTAACTTACATTTTCGTATACTAAATGAAAACCGTATGTCAAAAACATACTATACACACACACATTGCATAAGGGGCCCACTCTACATACATGTTTGTACTGTACAGTATTTCTAACCGTCTTAAAACTGTTCTTATCTCAAGAGCTGATGCCTCTCCACCCTATGAAGGTAATGGTGAAGTACTGTTTGTATGTATATAGACTCTCTCCACTTCTACCGAAATCTAATATTTATATTTTTCCAAGCAAAAATCACAACTGTGGTGTTACAGTTTAAGGATCAATTAAGTTGAAGTTGGGTACAAGTTTTTACCATAATACAGTACATTATTTTGCTGCCAATTTCTATTGATTTATTGACCACTCCAATGGAAAAAAAAATAGCCTTAATCACCAAGACCAAACACAGTAATGGTGGTACATTTTGCACATCATAATTATGTTCGCATGATGAATAGCCGTTTTAAAATTATATAAACAAAGATATAAAAGTCAAAAGACCACATGCCCATTAAACCATGTGCATATTAAACCCCGGAAAACCTACAATTCTCATATTATATAATGTTAAAAGCTTTAGTGTACGCTTTTGTAAATGGGAAGGGAACTATCAGTAGTAGTGCCAAGCCATTACGATTGTACAAGACTTGGAAGGGATCAGGATAAGGATTTGGGATGGAACAGGGGAAAAAGAAATGGTGCCCAATTACATGGACAGTCGGGAATTGAACGCCGACCTGTGTGAAGCGAGACCGTTGCTCAATCGTCCAGCCAAAGTGGTTGGGCAGTAGAGCAAATATGAGAGATAAGATATACTATACTGCCCATAATGGGAGATACTGCACATATGCAATACCACAAAACCAACACTTTCAAAGAATATTGTTTCACCTTTAAAAATAGCTTAATTTGAATTGTTATTTGTTCATAGTTACTAACTACATGGCAATATTGTACTACTGAAGAACCTTGCACCGTGCCATTATTAAATCTTAATGCTATTGCTCAACCTTACCAGTTCCATAGCCTTAAGGTTGAGAGACTTGCGTGTGCCGGGCAGATAAGTGGAAATTAAAGTATGCAGCATGAAGTCTTCAGGTAGTGGCGTTATCTGGAGAGCATCTACCAATATTTTGCGAGAACTTTCTTTGGCCGCTCCAGGACACTCTTGTAAAATGTCAATCACTTCATTTCGAACTCCTTGTGAATCTGGAAGGTACAACCTTGCTTTTAGGTTTTCTTAAAATATTTATAAGATCTAATGAATCCTCTGTCCTGACGTTTCCCCCTTTACTTGTGGCTACCTGTCAGTCCAGAAAGAAACGACCATCACAAATGGGCTGAGTGGGGCAAGAGGAGGGTTACCAACAGAAAGACTTGTCGTTAAGCTCCCTCGTAAATCTTAACTGGTCTAAAGTGATACTTTTGTTTACCTGTCAAGGTAACGTTTTGGAAGCTCTCGAACTACGGATGTTGAGAGCATGTTCTCTAGTGCTTATGACACAATAGGAATGTATATAGACTGTAGTGAGATGTTAGTGTGTGTATATTTAGAATCAGACCTTGAGCAGTCCTTCCATGTGTAAATTAAGAGAAACCTCACCAACCTTCCAGATACTATTTTGAAAGCTCTCTAGCAGTTTTCTCTATTAGTCTTACTGTTGTAGGATGCTTCACTTGATACCATGTGAGCAGCACTTTTCAGTTTTCCTCCATGAATCTAAAGCCACAACAGCCCCTAAAACTGCACACAACATGCCCATAATAAAAGGTATACAATAGGCCCAGAGGAAGTACACAAAAGACCCCAGAGAAGGGAACACCAAAGGTACAGTGTTTATATACATCACCAAAAAAAACCAATAGCGTGAAAACCAAAAGATACCCCTACAGGGAAGACTTTTGCCTTTGCTGTAGGGCAAACCCTCTGTAAGCTGAACTATGTTATTCCAAGAATAAATTGTATATATGAAAATAATAATAATTACCCTGTATTTAAAGAAGGCTCACTTATGAATTACTTTAAATTATTTATTCAAAAAATTAAAGTAGTTTAGTGCCTACTCAAAAGGCTAATAGCTCAGAAGAGAACTTAGTTTACAGCTCCTACAAATTTTCCACTATTAATGGAACATTTCCCACTGCAGCATGCACCATTAACATTTTAAAAGTTTTTTTTTTTTTTATAAAAACTCAAGATTTAAATCGTCATATATCAGCACGTATCACTTCAGGAAATTTTGTACCTAACTGAACAGCATCTCTGCATATATCAGGTCCTCAGTCTGGTTTTGTTTGCATTCGAGGGTGCTATTCATTCCGAGGCCCAAGTGCATTACTCACTCTGCCCTTTTCTAAGCACCAGACCTAACCCAAAGGACCACAAGGATATTGATCCTCAAAACCACCTTCAGGTAACCAATCCATGCCATTCCTGGATATGAGGACAGGATAGGGGATATGAGGACAGGATAAAGGATACGAGGATCAAGAAAGAACACGACACGTCACAAGCTAACAAAAATACTAATGGTCCACGAGAATAGAAGAAAGGCTAATGCAACTTACTGTTCTTGAGATGGTCGAGATCCACTCTCGTCAAATTGAGGAGCTTGGCAATAGCAGTCCATAGTGAGCCTGCAGTCTTCATGCACAGCTGAATGACCTCGTCCTCCCTCTTCAGCCAATCACACGCAACAAACACGGCTGCTAACATGCCCTCTTTGCTAATGAGTTCCAAGTGTTCACCAGCACTGAGGCCTTCCCACTCCTGGTCAGACTCGATCTTTACATCCTGAAAATTCCAAATTGTCAAATATTATTGTGTGTGAAGGGAAATAAACTTAAAATTTACTTAAATGCGAATACACTTAAAATTAGCAACACGTTTCCATACTATAATGCATAAAATGGAGTCCCATTTCAACAGACTAATATGCAATGAACAAAATTCATTACAAATATGATGTGTTTTTAAGGATACCTAATCCATTAGAGGAATACAGGTGTCGGTAATCCAGATTTTTGTTGCACATCGATATTATATATTTTTACCATACCTAAGTACCTGTAATTTATCACCGTTAAACATCATGTTATTTTCTGCTGTCCATTTGAAAACTTTATTAATATCAGCTTGTGAACTTTTCAATGTCTTCCACAGAAGTAATTTCATGCTCATTTTTGCATCATCTGCAAAAGATGACACAAAGCTATGTTTTGTAATTTTGTCCATATCTGATATTAGGACTGTGGCCTGAGGTAGGGAGCTTTGGTTGAGTCCCAACCTTTGTTTGGATTCAATTTTATTGGGTTGTGTTTGGTTTGACAGAAAATTTAATATCTATCACCCTATGTTACCCGTTATTACTACTGGCCTCATTTTGTGGGGTATTACTCCATGATCAAATTTATCAAATGCCTTTGCGAAGTCCGTGTATACCACATCTACATTCTGTTTTTCTTCTAGTGCCTCTGTGATTTTGTCATAGTGGTCAAGTAGCTGCGAGAGGCATGATCTTCCCGTTCTAAATCAAAGTTGACCTGGGTTGTGGAGGTCATTGGTCCCCTATAAAACTGGAGATTTGACTCCTTGAGGTTATCTTGTGATGATTTCGGGGCTTTAGTGTCCCTGCGGCCCGGTCCTTGACCAGGCCTCCACCCCCAGGATGCAGCCCGTGACAGCTAACACCCAGGTACCTATTTTACTGCTAGGTAACAGGGGCATAGGGTGAAAGAAACTCTGCCCATTGTTTCTCGCCGGCGCCTGGGATCGCACCCAGGACCACAGGATCACAAGTCCAGCGTGCTGTCCGCTCGGCCGACCGGCTCCCGTCCTGATCGCTCTCAAACTTTTATTACTCGAGACGTTAGCGTGACTGGTCTGTAATTATTAGCCAATACTTTGCTCCCTCCCTTGTGTAGAGGAGCTATATCTGCTGATTTAACCACTTCCGGTATCTCACGAGTGTCCAAGTTTTGTCTCCCCACCACATTGAGTGCTTGTGCAGTTCTTCTTGACATTTTGCATTTCTCTATAAATATTGAATTTTTTAGGCTTTCACTCATCCTGTGTGTAAGAATCTTCACTTGTAAGTACAAGTCTAGTACCGACAGGTTTGACATTTCAAAAAGGCATAGATAATACCATCTTATAAATAATTAATACGGTACCAGATCAAGTTATTTAAGCCTATGTTTGCAATTTTATGTTTAGTTTTCAGCACGAGTTTATTTGCTGTTCATTTGTTTATTAGATTACATTTTTACCACATTTCTAATACGGTATAATGAAGATTTGTTCTTTCCATTTATATCATAAATCCTTCGTAAAACAAACAATGGATGAACACAAATTTTTTTTCTAGTAGGCCTAGGTATGAAAAATATGCAAACATTTTGTTGTTTACAGGCATAAGAAAACTAATACCCTCCTAAAAAAAAAAAGACAGTTCTAAGTAACGTCTGGTTGTCACAGGCAAACGTCTGGTTGTCACAGGCAAACGTCTGGTTGTCACAGGCAGAGTCTAATCCCAATTAATTCAAATTAGCTCTCCACCTACTCTTCAACATGCTAAACCTTGCATTACACGACTGTTACACGAGGCTTTATCTGTATCAACACAGAAAAGTAGTATTCAAAACCAAGTTTGTTTGTTTTTATCTTCCCACATCGTTAAAGCGTAACTATAATATATATAACATAATAATGCATTTTTACAGCATAGGAACAATGCCCCCCCCCCCAAAAAAAAAGTCCCACTTTTCAAGATGGCAAATAGTTTACCAAAGGGCTCAAATACAGATTTCAATGCTGTATACCAGTTAAGAGTTTAAAATACTTCATTGCAAAGCACCTAAAACATATGATGCAATTTTCACTACCGGTCAAACATCTCTTCGATGTTCAGCTTAGTGCGCGGGTTGAAATTCAATCGAGACCTAACTCACCTCATCAGAATCATCGTCATCCTCTGAGGAGCACAGCTGAGAGAGGTCCAAGTCTTCCTCATCCTCTTCCTCCTCATCTTCACTGGATACAACTTCATCTTTATCATCATTGCCTTCACCTTCGGCATCATTGTCATCATCACTTGCTGAAGCATCTGAACCACTCTGCTCATCTACAATAAAGATATCAAAGATGAAAAGAGCAATGCTGGGTTATATTCGATTGCGAGAATGTATAAAGTGCGTTTTGCTCACATACGTAAATACAAACATGTATATAATTATGTACATTAAACAAGCATTTGAATGTATTTATGCTTGTTTATTTAACTATTTGGCAAACAACATTATTAAAAACAAATATTTAGCATTTTTAACTTTCATTCCTAGTACTACCCGACTGCTCTGGAGAAAAGCACACAAATGCTACAATGTACAATTACACAAAAGCTTGCATTGATTGTGAACAAATCCACAAGGGCCGTGACGAGGATTCCTCGTCACGGCCCTTGTGGATTTGTTCATTTGATGCATCACGTTAGTGTGATCTCTGTGTGTATTGCATTGATTGTTTGTTTAAGCTAATTCCTACTTAACTGGGTTGACAAACAGGAAAGCTAATATTTTTAAACAAAGACTCAAACTCATGTCACACACACACACACACACACACACACACACACACACACACACACACACACACACACACACACACACACAAAAAAAAAATCTGTGTACAGTACTGTAGTTACAATTCCATAACAATATCATAAGTGAAGAAACAAAAAGGAAGAAGGTTCATCGTGACTAACCATCACTGGCATTGGGCCGGTCACCATTCACCCGGCGCCGTCGACGAAGATTGGCCAACCTATTGCTGCGGCCATTTTTCTTTTTCTTGACTGGTTTTGCATTTCCGCCGTCCATTACAGGCTCAGAGTTCTTGTCTTCTTTCTGCCCCAAATTTGAATCATTACCATTGTCTTCATCAGTCTTCTAAAACAGAGTGTAAACAAATCACATTGTAATGCAAGCCTGTATAACGCTATAGTAATCAGTATACGCCACATATTACCATACAACAAACAGTATTAACATCTAATGAGTATATATAACAAATAATGTATTGGACTAATTTTAGTGAAGGCTATTTGAAAAAAAAAATTCATTTAAAAAATAATTAAATTTGTCATTTTATATTTTCACAAGCATTCAAAATGTATTAATTAAAAATTTAGTTTATTGTGAAAAAAATTATGAAGATTTTCCTAAAAAAAAATCTCCTGGCTGAGCAGAGACAAGGTTGCTCTCTAAGGTAGAATCCAATGATGCATTTGACCAGAAGCATCATGTCAGGCAAGGTAACATTTTAATACCAATTGCAGAGAAGACTTTATTTAGCATTTCAGTGTTGTGATGCTGTTAAAATACAGTGTCTGTACTTCTTGATCTTGAGGTTATCTTGAGATGATTTCAGGGCTTTAGTGTCCCCCGCGGCCCGGTCCTCGACCAGGCCTCCACCCCCAGGAAACAGCCAGTGACAGCTGACTAACACCCAGGTACCTATTTTACTGCTAGGTAACAGGGGCATAGAGTGAAAGAAACTCTGCCCATTGTTTCTCGCCGGCGCCCGGGATCGAACCCGAGACCACAGGATCACAAGTCCAGTGTGCTGTCCGCTCGGCCGACCGGCTCTACAATGGTAAACGTTCTGATGATGCTAAAAAGTGTCATCCATCTATCTCTACATACCCCAACGTACTTTTTCATTTTTTTATATCATTTTTGTATATTTTTTGGAGCACAGTGTGGGTATAGCTTATCAGAGTACTAACCAAAGTATCAGGGGGGGGGGGGGACCATCCAGAGATCACCTTGTCCAACTATGTCACTTAAAATGACAACTGTTGTTCTTGCGCACATTTTCATTATGCTTTGCAAATTACCAGCTGGAAACTAATGCAAGTTATGCTCATTTTCTTTTCACAGTAATATAAACAGAGTCAACTTTAGTGATATTATGTTCCTGCAGTGCTTCCTAGACAAGTGTGACCACTTGGGATAATGTACAATGTTCCACGTGGCACCAGTACCTCAATATGGTGAGATTCGAGTGTCACTCTGTCTGCCCCCAGTTTACTCCCTGTATACATGATGGAATCTTACCTTAGGAAGCAACCAAGTGCAATGACTTAAATTGCTGAACCCTTCAACAATCATTTAATGCAGTGTAGCATTTGTTTTTAAAATGAAGGATGAGAAGTTATTATTATTATGCAACATTAAAATATCTGCTGTAAAATAACTGCAATAACAAACAACAAGGCTCGAAGCAAAGCTCAGAGCTAACAAAATAAAGTGTAATAACTGCACTATGGTTGTTCTATTGCTTGATCAGATTCATGGAAATGGAAAATTAGACTACACAACGTCTTTTAATTATTCAATCTGCTGAGGAGCATAAGCAAATGTTGTGCATCAGTCAATAGTAAACATCTACAAAAGAACTATTCAAAATAAAATAACACTGAAAACAAACGTTTTAACAAGTTATTGTGTCAAAACATTTAACGTACCTTTTCTGTCTCGGGAACAAGGATGGATAAAAACGAGGGATCGACAAGCGAGATGCGTTGCTCTAGTCGACTAGTGACGAGGGAAACTAGAGTCATCAGGACAGACACCATAAGAGCTTGGGCCATGCTTGTGTGTGGTGATGCTGGCAAGTAAACATTCAGAGATGAAATCAAACTTTCACAGACTAAATGAAGAGTTAAAGTGTCTCAAAAAATTTTACTGTACCATTTCACTGAAAATATTAAGGCAGCAGGTTAAAGAGAACAACATAGTGGAACCCCGGTGTATAAATTTTAATCCATTCCAAAAAATGCAATGTAACCCAAATATTTGTAGGCTGAATCAAATTTTCCCATAAGAAATTATGTAAATTTAATTAATCCATTACAACCCCCCCAAAAACTAACTTAAAAATACACTTTATCTAGACTACTTATTTTTTCATACACAAAATAATAAGGAACAAATAAACTAAATAAAATAAATGAGCATTCAACATTATGGAAGACAGTGAGGAGAGGGAAAGGAGGGGAGGTGTTAGTGTTTGGAAGGGGATTCCCCTTCCATTATAACACCAGACAGTGATGTCATTTCTGGGGTAATCTTGCTCCTTCATTTTGCAGGCATCCCACTAAGACCTGGTTGTGGCTCCCTGCTTGTTCATCTCACTAAGAATCTGTCTAAGATACTTGTTTTTGCCTTAGTTTTAACAACTGTCTGTAGCGAGACATCACATTGTCATTAAAAAAGTTAACGCAATGGCTTGCTTCAGCTTTATACGGGGGAGTCTTTTCAGCAAAACTTTGCAGTTTTTCCCATACTCCAGATTAACCATATGCATATATTACATTTATATATCTTTTTTTCTTATTAGGTTAAACTTTACCACTGACTTTCTTGGAACCCATGGTGTGATACATAACTTTTATGTTAAGAAACAAAATAAGAACAAAAATGCTGAAATTGTTCACAGACAATTTAAACGCGTTTATCAGCAGGCGGGATACAAGCGTAAACCGATCTTACCGACTCAAGACAAATTATGAATGAGCGGTTTGTACTCTAGAACAAACATTGTACACCAGGGCTTATTTTCCAAAATTTTTGTCATACACCAGAAAATTCATACTCAGGTGCAATCGTAAAGAGGAGTTCCACTGTATACGAGTCGGCAATACATAAACTGAAGGTTTAGGTGACAAGGAAATAGAAAAGGCAATGCAGAGGCAAGGCCCTCAAAACAAATGAGAGTTAAGAGCTCTATGGAGAAAACTGCAAACCCATTATTTACCTTGTTTCTTGAGCCTTTGAGTACAAATAGATAAAACAGCACAGACAACCACCATGGCCTCAGGAGTAAGGCTAAATGATACCATCTTCTCTTTGGCTTCTAATGAGGGGTCGCATCCATTTTGTTGTGCAGTTGGTACATGGCCATTTGGTGGCGAAACAGCCGGTGAAGGCGATCTCTCTGAAGGTTCATTATCAGCATCATCATAAGTTTCCAATACCTTCCCAAGTTGAACCAGCACATCCTGGCACAACTGTAAGATGAATGATAAACCACTATATTAATCTTTGTGTTTACAATACATCCCGTGGGGAAGAACAATTATTTCATAATTTAGACTCACACACTATAGTCACGAAAGGCAGACAGGCTGAGACGTCTCCACGACGACCTACTTAAGCCAACTTATCTCCTTGTGGAATCCTTCCCCATAGAAAATAATTACCTTTCACTAACAATTCACTAATTAAAAAAAATAAAAAATTCCCCTCAAAATATGAAACTTCATAAATGAATTTCAACCTAAATGAGCTATATGGTAGTGCAGTCTTGCCTAACTTCTAACAACTATACAGTAATAACTGCATATATAAACATAAGCAAAAACCAGCCATCAATAATTTGTCACTCAACATTAACTCAACATTCCAATGCATTGCGGGCTGACCTATCTGACTTGTACAACTCCATGGAATTAATTGCATCCTCTTCAACGTTCATATAAATACTGTATATCACACAGACAACAGTCTAACACATCCATCCAACATCAGAATTATTATTATTTTATTAAATCATTTAAACCCCACTTGTATGCAATGATACTTATTTCTATTCTGTATTCCACAATCAATTTTTTTTTAAGCAATGAAAGCTATAAGTTTCCAATATTTCAAAAATTATTTACCTTCTTCATACAGACTAAAAAAAAATAAAATGGCTACTGACCCTTGCAACTTCCTCGGTAGCTCTGTTATTGACAAAACACGAGACGAGAGTAAGAAGTGTGTGCAGAAACATCTTGTGGTGGTGTGAAGGAGCCTTGTCGTCTCCTTCCTCCACTCCATTCTCATAGATGGACCGACTCTTGTCCAGCAGACGTTTGAGGTTGCCTTCAGCTCCTTCAACATTTTTCTCACATGTTAGTCTATGGAAAAAATGAACAATAAAAAAATGCAATGATATGCGTTTATAAAACGATAAAATATAATAATACAAGAATGTAACAACTCTTGTATATATCTCAAAAAAAAAAAAAAAAAAAAAAGCACTTGGGGAAAATGGTTATCTGCTAACAGATAAAGCAAGCCCTATCAATAATAAAGATGCAAAATTATGTCGGTTAGTTGATCAAACCACACACTAAAAAGTGAAGGGACGACGACGTTTTGTCCCTTCGACTTGACGATCACAATCGACTTGAGAATGGTCCAGGACGGACTGAAATGTTGTCCCTTTACTTTCTAGTGTGTGGTTTGGTCAACATATTTCGGCCACGTTATTGTGACTCCTCATCAGCATATGTGGGTTAGTCAGGAGTTCTGTGGAATGTATGATAAAAGCGTATGACCTAGCCACTTTTGTTACATTGTCTCGCAAGTAGCACGAAAGAAGTAAGAGCACGACTGCATTATCAACTTCAGGAAAGCTACAAAATCCTACACGTGTTGCTATTTTATTTTCACCAAGGTCTTTAACACTTTCGCGCTTTAGATTAGAGATAACTCGTCGCTGTTTTTTCTTACGATTCCGCATAACAGCCTACTTTTCTCGTCAATCGAAAAAATATTTCTATAAATTCCATTTTTTAACCAAAATGGATGGGGATACTTTTGTAGAGAATTTATTTGTGAATTTTTTGGTACCAGAATGAATATTATATCACATAAACTTCTATGAGTAAAAAAAAAAATACACAAAGTATGTTTGGGGGTGTGGCGAGCGTGTGGCAGTGGGTTCCCTTTAGCCGCTGATATATCCAACACGTGGGAAATATTTGTATGTGTTATGTATATGTCTGTGTAGGGAATTTTACTGCGATCACTGTCATACAAATTATAAAATGTTTCAAAAAGTATAAACATGACAAACATCAAACGAACGAAAACAATGCGTTCGTTTCTGCCGCGAACGCATACTGAGCGACGTGGTTCTATATTTGGTGCTTCTCTTACACATGCTTTGTACAAATGTTATACAGTTCATCTTATAGAAAATTTTATTGCGAACACATTGGTATAAAAAAGAAATACGTACATAGAAAAGTAGGGTCAGGAAACGTATAAACTTTCCAAGCATGATTTCCCCCCTGTGTTTTCGCCAGTGCGCTCGCGGCTAACTACTCTCCAATTCACACACTCTTGCGGGTGGGCAATTACCTATATTAAACATTCATATGCATATGTCCGTGTAGAGAATTTTATTGCGATTCCAATGACACCAAAATTAGCGATGTAGGACAACTGTAGGCTTCGCAACCATTAAGAGAGTGGAAACATTTTGTTGCTGTTTGGCGCTCTCGGCGAGTGATCTGCATAGTTTTTTATTTGGTGTTGATACTCCTTATGCTTGGGCGGCATTTTATAGGTATGCTCTTATAGACAATTTCATTGCGAACACAGTGATACCAAATTTAAATACGTGCGCCTTCAATTGTTGTCAGGACAGTCAAAAGAGTGTACACTTTTTCGGTCTTACCGCATAGGCGCGCGAAGTGCCAAAAGCATCTGGGGTATTGTTTTTTTTTGAGCGCCGAGAGCGCGAAAGTGTTAATAATGGGACCCCAAGATGAAGCCCTCTACACTTATGCCAAATGCTGGTTACAAAGGCATAATTTATAAGTGTCAAAAGGACAAGGATAAATACATGTCTGATGAATGAAAGCACACTGTTAATGGACCATAGGCTGTATCATTGAGGACATGTAGGAAAAACTTAATTTACCTAAGGCCCCATAGTGGCCTCAATAGAGACAAAGTTGAGAATTTTTTTCCAGCTGAATGTTTAAATTTAAAGGTCTTGACCTTTACAGCTTTACCCAATGAGTGAAAGGCATTTCCTGTTTTCTGCTTCCTCTTGATGCTTCTTATGCAGCTCAAACTTTAGAGGCAATAGTTTACTTCATGAAGGTTGGCGTTCAATCTCCGATCAACCAAGTGGTTGAGGATGTATTTAAAACCTAACCCTTTTTCCCCCTATATATATTTTAAGTTTGATTAACAAGGTACACAACCCCGGTGCAAATCAAGAGCCTCCTGTACCTCAATTTAGACACTATCATCAACTTATGAGCATTGACTTTGATATATTAGGTAGGTTTTCTAGGTCAGTAGGTACTTGTAGGTAAAGTACTTTACAGTACTTTACAGTAGGTAAAATTGTTACATAAGGTAGAGCCTCCTGTACCTCAATTTAGACACTACCATCAACTTATGAGCATTGACCTTGATATATTAGGTAGGTTTTCTAGGTCAGTAGGTACTGGATACAGCAAATCATTACAAATTGTCAAACCTTAAATATGGGCTGGTTGCACATACAAAAAAGAAAAAAAAAATACTACACATTAAGTACATATATATAAAAAAAAAGCCATGAAGCTATTTCAGTCATTCTGGCATCCAAGTTAGATTTCAAACTGAACAATGTTTACTTTTTATTTTCTCTGGAAATTCCTTAAGACAGAAATGATGATTTATGATTTGTTATCATCACTCGTGTCCCATACGACCTGAATTTACGATAAAATACTCCCTGAATATTAAAAATATGAATACTTCTGATAAAAATTGTTACATAAGAAAATATAATGACAATTTATTTTCACACAAAATTTTCAAAAAATGTCCATGGCGCTTAAATTCACAAAGAAACAATGACAACATAGAGAGCATAAGTGCTAAAAACAACTTATCAAATGCAGACCCGAAATAACAAATTACCAACCATGTACCGTACTCAAACCAACTGTTGGATTACAGTAGCAATGTAAGCAAGTAACAAATGTGCCAGCATTAGTGTAACGTAGAGACAAGACAACGAAGACAGGGAAATTTAACTTACGCTCGGAGGTAGTGCACTGCAGCCAACAGAGGTTGGTCAGCTGTAGTATAGACAGTGGCCAAGTTGCTGTGTGTCAGGCCACCCTCAGGGTAGTAGTGGAGAGCCTAGAATGTAAACACATACACTGCATAATTTGTCCAACTGTTAAATAATCCCCCCCCCCCATTCTAATATTCAGCTGTAGGAGCAATGTCACCAAGGTCTTTAATAATGGGACCCCAAGAGGAAGCCCTCTACACTTATGCCAAATGCTGGTTACAAAGGCACAAGTTATAATAGTGTCAAAAGGACAAGGATAAATACATGTCTGATGAATGAAAGCACACTGTTAATGGACCATAGGCTGTATCAGTGAGGACATGTAGGAAAAACTTAATTTACCTAAGGCCCCATAGTGGCCTCAATAGAGACAAAGTTGAGAATTTTTTTCCAGCTGAATGTTTAAATTTAAAGGTCTTGACCTTTACAGCTTTACCCAATGAGTGAAAGGCATTTCCTGTTTTCTGCTTCCTCTTGATGCTTCTTATGCAGCTCAAACTTTAGAGGCAATAGTTTACTTCATGAAGGTTGGCGTTCAATCTCCGATCAACCAAGTGGTTGAGGATGTATTTAAAACCTAACCCTTTTTCATAAGGGGTGGATACCATTATTAGCTTTAAACAAGTGGCCAAAACCCTACACTGCAAATAGCAATTGGAGAATGTCTCCAATTGTTATTTGCAATTTTTTCCGGTGTTCTAATTGCCCTATAAAAATGTTTCCCCATTTTATTGGTTAACCATTTATATACATGTGAACATCAATGTAGTTTGAGGGTTAAATGGATGGTTACATTAGATATGCATCTCCTATCATTGGAGACGGGAAATATGTTAGCTTATCAAGGTCCCTCTTGGCTAAGCCAATGACTGACCTTCCCCATCCCCACTATGGCACCCACAACAGTAGCCAATTCTCAGGTAACTATTCACTGCTCGGTGACTAGCAACATCATGTGTAAGGAAAATGCCCAAGAATCTAATGAGGGTTCAGTCAGATGAACCAGAGAGTTCAATCATGCTACACCAGCATTTAAACCACCTTGGTGCAATAAAATAGAAAAGATAGGCCATTTCGAATCAATACTACAATTCCTGGTTTGCTTGGAAATTTGCTCATCTAATAATATCAGAAAATAAAAAGTAAATCAAGAATAATATTAATACAGGGTGTCCCAGAATTAGCCATCTATTTCTATGAAATTGGAAAAATCTATAAAAACCTACATAATTCCATATATGTTTTCCATCTAAAGTATCAGTTTTTGTATAAATTTTAATATAAAAACAGACAAGATTTATAAAATCATACGTCAAATCTTCAATGAGAGCTTTCAATGTGTCCTCTGTCTGTATCCCTGTAAGGATCAGTTCTTATAAATTTGTTCACACACATTCACTAATCGCTCTGTCTGTAGGACGTGAAATTTCTTTGTAAATCTCTCTCTAAATTCGTGATATCACAACCCTTTGAAACGGGATGTCACAACAAAGTTGCATTCTTATGTATTTCATTATTAGGGGTACAGTATTAGAGAAGATATGAAATAATTGAAATTTTTACATTTATAATACACATTAAACATGATAAATAAACAAGAGATTAAAAAATAAAGTCATCCGATTTCATAGAAATGGCTATTTCTGGGATACCCTATATATAAAAAGAGTATACAGTACAAAAAATAAAGTTTTCAGAATTTTAAAATCGTAAAAATACATTATATATTTAATCAAGCCTCATAACAAGGCTGTATTAAATTCTGTCACACACATTAAATCTATCGTATTCACACTTAACATGCACCATGCCCAGTATAATTCCGATAATTGAACTGACCTGCAGATAGTAGCGAACGGAAAATTGATAGGGAGGGGGAGAGGGAAGATCCAACATGTAACGGGTTAAGTCGCCCAGAAATGTGAGGCATCGATGCATGGAATCCGTGGCACTCTCTCCAACCGGAGGGACAGGAGCGCACTCATCTTCTACAAGGGAAAAAAAAGAAGTTACTATACAGTACCGTTATCTAATTTTTTTTAGTTGTATATATACATTTTTACTACATAAGCTTAATACAAACTCACATGCTTGTTCAATGCCTAATATACTGTAGTTATTTTGATACGCACACCAAAATTAAGGATATAAAACAGGACTAGACTACTATCAATTACATAAATGCTAGGAAAAGTCAGAAAAGGTAATTAAATGTTATGCAGGCTGTTTCATGTGTCAGATTGTGTGCAGCATCTACCAAGAGTCTTGATAACCAGACCATCAACCAAGAGGAACAATCAGAGACTGGGCTACAGGGACAATGATCCTCAGAACCCTTTGAAGGTAATCTCAAGGTAAGTGACCATATATTTCACCCTCCTCTCATAAATAAGATTGTGTTCAACCTGCTCCACCTCCCTCCAAAATAATTTGTACTGCAAATCTATCATCTCGACGAGTGAACAGTGTGCTTCCAAAATGTTGAATATTTTATCAACAAAATTCACTTCTCAGTTACATCAGCTCCACAAGACTTATTTGCCCTCGTTTAGAAAACATGGGCCAGATTCACGAAAGCACTTACGCAAACACCTACGAACCTGTACATCTTTTCTCAATCTTTGGCGGCTTTGTTTACAATTATTAAACAGTTAATGAGCTCCGAAGCACCGGGAGGCTATTTAGAACAATAACAACAGTTGAATGGAAAGTTTTCATGCTTGTAAACTGTTTAATAAATGTAACCAAAACCGTCAAAGATTGAGGAAAGATGTACACGGTCGTAGGAGTTTGCGTAAGTTCTTTCGTGAATCTGGCCCCAGCTCTTATACAAGACAGCTCTCCAATTCTACCAAATTTCAATGTGATCAGTTACCCTCTGACCACCATACTTTGTGATCATTTCGGGGCTCAACGTCTCCATGGCCCGGTCCTTGGCTACACCCTACTTTTGTTATTAGCGTTCCACCAAATGATTGATTTTTTTTTTATCCCATAATTACTTCTGTACAGTACAATACTGTACAGAACTTGCAATTATGATCATCAACTTATAAGGAAATGTTTTCATTTATATGAAAAGGCAAGCAGGTAACAATACATCCAGTCATAACCATAGAGTATCCCTATACCAAGAAATATCAGTAAATAAAAATAATGAGGAAAACTTAAAATAAATCTTAACAGGGGGAGGAGGGGGTACTAACCGTTATTTAGAGGTGGCAATAGGTCTGCCAGAGGAAACTTTGTCGGGGATGAACACGCGAGAGCATGCAACAGCTGGTGATAGTAGGCGACTCCAGTCCATAGGTGATTATGCACCCAACATGCCTCATTATTTGTCCATGAATTACCCTGAAAGGACACTCAAACTGATCAAGAATACATATAGGAACAAATGATTTTAATGCAGAATTGAATACACGGATTATTTTCAAAACTATAAAGTAACTTCTCTAAAAATTACCCAAGTATAGTACTTACCTTTCTCATTTTCTTTGCTGCAGTCAGTGGCTCATAGTAGACTTTACGCCACAGTATCTCCTCCATGCGGCGCGCATGGGGACCAGGGGCCGTCAAAATAACCCGTTCACATGCATCTCTCAGCCTGGCTCGCACTCCAACAGCTTGAGCTGTGAACAAGCTACACACCGCTCCTGCCTCGCCCAGTGCTGCATTTGTACGCCGAACACACTCGCTCACATTCCTAAAGTATTGTATAAAAATAAATAATAACATTAAAAGATAAAATTAGGTTCTTGCAATAAAATTATATTGTGTAAAACTGTACAGTACTGAGCACATTAACTAGAATAAGTACTGTAATTGTTACAGTTCACTGCACTGAACTGTAACAGTTCAGTGCAGTGATACAATTTATCTCTGAATGCAGTAAACTTTCAATGCCAGGAAAAAGACGCTACAAACGTATTACAGTATAGGATATACTGTAAGAGGTTAGGCTGTCTTCAAGTTGGATTGGGTAAGGTAAAGTAGAATCTAATGTCCGGTTTAAGGTCTGTAAACCCTAGGGGGGGGGGGTTATTAAGTCTACTGCAACAGTGTACTGATCAACACCATAGCCCGTGCTACTTGGAACTTTGTTCCAGGTAGCGAATCTTTAACAACAACAACTGATCAACTAATAACTATATTTCAACCCTGAACATTTCTGTATACATTATATACTGTATACTCCGAGACGTGGGTTATAACCATCAGTGTATGTTTACCCTATGATATAGTTGTTGGGTCGGGTTAGATAAGGTTCAAAACCAGGTGGCGGAGCCATCTCGAGTACTAAGTAACCTCTGATCAAAAGTTCATAATACAGTGCTGTACTGTACTTAATTTAGGTTTCCTACATTCAGAACTTATTCATTTTAAATCTACCGTAATACATTACAAAATGTACAGGCTACACCAAATGTGACGAATTTGTATGCATTCCGTTATCTGTATAAAACTAATAACATTGTACAGATATAGGTTATTTTGTGCACAAAATTCACAAATATGAAATTATTAGAGTCCTGCAGTCATCGAGTTGAGCTAGGTTAGGTTGGGTTGAGCTAGGTTAGGTTAGGTTGAACTAGGTTAAGTTGGGTTAAACCAAGCCAGAACTTCTATGCACCACACAACCGGTTTGAAATCTTGACCTGATCAAAGCCAACACTTCAAGCAAAGTCTATAGAAATCAATAATAAAATACAATACATCGAGACATTTTTTTTATAGACGCAACGACCAGTGCTGAACGTGTACCATACGACCTCCCTCTAAACCACCCACTTACCCCTTAAACCCCTGGTCCAAACCCCCCTTCCCCTGAACTACCCACTCCCTTAACAACCCCTAAACATCTAACAACCTCTCCATTGCCCCCGAAGGAAGACACAAAGGAGATAAATATATATATGAAAGAGATCAACATACCTCTACACGGCAAACTCTCACTCACTCACTCTCTCATTCCTTCTCACTCACTTGGTCAGCTTCTTGACGTGCTCGAGGCTGGTGTCAGCCCTCTCCCCGGTGGTCGGTGTTGATCTCTTCATGGCCCTGCTGCTTCATCATATAACAATCCTGCGAGAAAGGCGACGAGGAGGGCTCCCGTGCGTATCATCGGACATCTTCCACGAAGCGGCCAAGGTCTTGTTATGGTCCCTTCACCATGACGCACTCTTCCTCCTCCTCCCTCCCTTATCACCATCAACACCATCACTCCTCTCAACCAGGCCGCCTAAATAATTATCTATAGACTTGTCTAGTTTAGGGAAAAGGGGTAAAAATGGGATATATATATCCCCATTCCATTGGGGTTAGGTTTATATAGCAAGTCCCTGAGAGACCCCTGGCGGTAATATTGAATAGGTGAGGTGATTATTTATTTATTTATTTATTTAGTCATTTATTTATATGCAAGAAGGTACATTGGGTTTATGAGAAGCATTGAAGTATTACATTCTTGTAAAGTCACTAGCACGTATAGCATTTCGGGCAGATCCTTAAATCTAACATATAATTTTAAGAAGGTAATTTTTAGCAAAATACAAAAAAAAAATGTTTACAGGTACATTGTAAAAGAAAGTATAAAAATACATTGTAAGGAAGTATAAGGATGCTTTGTAAGAAAGTATAAAAGAAATACATTGTATAAGAAATTTGACAGGATTAATAGGTACATTAAAGTAAATTTAAGGGTTATCCACAGGTACAAGTTCAATTCAAGTTCAAGTATGTTTATTGAGATAAGAAATAAATACATCTCAAAGGGATAGAGTAGCTTAGGCTATTTCTACCCCCCTCTACTTTAAGTCCCTCAAGGGACGCACAAATTCAGTGAGTACAAATAGACAAATAACATTACAAGAATCCCATTTAACATTGCAGGTTTATATAGTAAGTACAGCATTTAACTGTTACACTCTTGGGGCAAAATTCTTGTAGCTCCTAAGTATACTGTCTATCATACCATTATCACACATCCAAACAATTTGATGTGGTACACTACTTATTTCCTTATTTCTATAGTTATCAATAAGTTGACACTCTAATACATACTGTTCTAAGGTGTGGGCGTGCGACATACTACATAATTTACACTCTTTATCTTTTTCACTGACATCAACACCGTATTGCCAGATATATTTGTATCCTAATCTCATGTAAATTGAATCCTTCCAAGTAGACTTTCCTCTACCATAGGCGAAGGACGAATTTGTATTTATTATTGCATAATTCTTAAGTGTGTTACTACTGTCCACCATTGCCGTTCTCTTAACCTTTTATTAATCCTCTTGGATCATCTTGATTCTTGTTTTTATTTGTTTCAAAGTTGTCTAACATTCAACAGCGACAAGAGTTTTTTTCCGTGGCTCTCTTCGCTATCTCATCAACTGCCTCATTCAACAGTATTCCCACATGTGAAGGGATCCACATGAATCTTATTTTATACCCAGTTTTTTCTAATTTCTTAACATTCTCTCTACACTCGATCACAACATTCTGGTAAACTGGGCGTTTGCTATTTAAAGACACTAACGCTCCTCTACTGTCAATAAAGAAGTAGGCATTTTTACCACATTTGACTACTTCCTGTAATCCTACTAATACACCTTGGAGTTCAGCCTGCGTTGAAGAGACATTGCCAGTTAAGCGGCGTCCAATAACAGTATCTACAGTGCCGATGTCAGTGTACTCCCTGATCAAGACTCCACATCCTGCCTTCCCATCCCTAGCTACTGACCCATCACAATATACATGTAGAGTGTTTTCTGTAGGTAATTTTCCAATTATACAATCATATGTTGCCCTCAGCTCTCCTATCTCATACATACTTTTTTCTTTTGCAGAGGAATAATTACTACATCAACGTTACAACCCTCCCATGGTGGTGTAAATTGTTTCTTAGGCAAATCAATCCATTCTGGAATAACATCATACTAACTCATATATGCTCTCTTCTTATACTTTATCATACATTGTTCATTACTGCCCACCTTTTGAACTGAGAGGATTAATTCTTTACCTCCCCCACCTCTCATTAATCTAATGGCAGAGGCTACACTTATCTCTACAATTCTATCCCCAATACTCGGCAGATTCAACTCCATCCTCATTATCTCAATCATAGCATTTCTTGAGCATCCTAAGATTATTCTCATGGCTTCATTTTATACCTTCTCCAACTTGCCCATCCTACCTTTACCAAAACAAGAAATGACAGGCGCAGCATAATCAATAAGGGATCTTACATTACTCAATAATAATAATAATAATAATAATAATAATAATAATAATAATAATAATAATAATAATAATAATAATGATGATATAATAATATTTTATTTAGGAAAAGTACATAGATAGATGCTGTTGGCATTCTTTCTAAGATCAGATATTATGTACCCCGCCCTGCCCTGGTGACTCTCTATTACTCCCTTATCTATCCATATCTCAACTATGGTATTTGTGCTTGGGGCTCTACTACCTAAAATCATTTACGTCCTCTAATTACTCAACACAAAGCTGCTATTAGGACAATATCCAACTCTGGCCCCAGACATCAATCGGTACCCCTACTCATATCTCTGAATATGTTAGACATTAAGTCACTGCACATTCTCTCATGTGTGTTATACATATATAAAACGCTAAACTGTAATGCCAATCCTGACCTCAAAAGCTTCATAGAAGGTTGTAACAGAACCCATGAGCACCACACCAGAAATAAATACAGTTTTGATATTCCTAGAGTACGAATTAATCAAACTAGAAATGCTCTACAAATCAAGGGACCCAGATAGTGGAATGACCTTCCCAACCATGTTAAAGACTGTACCTCTCTCAACCAGTTTAAGATAAAAACGAAGCTATACCTAATAAATTCCCTGTAACCTACCTTACCCCTCTATTGTCAACCAATGTCTGTTTTTTTTAAAGAGCGCTGTTTGTCGACAGAATTGTATTTGTGCTGCTTTTTCAGCTATGTTTTCACTATACTCTTTATGCTCAATTGTATTAAGCTTTAGTCATTTAAGTTTTTCATGCCCGAAACGCTTTGCGTAATAGTGGCTTTAGGCATTGTATGTACTAGCCCTATCTATAAATCCATCACTCTGTAAAATCTCTTGTATGTATGTACCTTACCTAAATAAACATTTGATTTGATTTGATGCAGAGTTACAAACATTCTGATTGATTTATAGACAGAGGTAGTACATACAATACCTAAAGCCACTAGTACGCACAGCGTTTCGGGCAAGGTGAGGTGGGGAAAAAACACTTTGACTAAAACTTAATAATAATTGAGCTTAAAGTATAAATTGCGCTGAAAGAAAAAAATCAAAGATAAAAACTGGGGGGACATGGTAGAAAATAGTCAATATACAAATTGGTCAACAAACAGCATTGTTTAAAAAATAGTAAGACATGGGTTGACATTAGGCTTTATCAAGTATATCATTCGTAACACAGGGACTCCCGCTGGTGCCAGGTAAGTCCACTACAGGCTCACCATAGCCCGTGCTACTTGCCCCGCTCCTGTGCCAGGTAAGTTATGGGCTCACCATAGCCCGTGCTACTTGGAACTTGTTCCGAGTAGCTGAATCTATAACAACAACAACTCCCTCTCCCTTTCCACAGCATGCCAAGAACTTCAGAGCTTGTAATCTCTTCCGACATTGACCCAACAGTCTGTCCATCTCAGCTTCCAAACTCTCATGGGTATATTTAATAGAAGAGTAAGATTAAAGATTAATATAATAGAATAAGATTAAAAAACAAACAACCCCTGCAGAGGGTTTTTTGCCCAAACCCCCCTGCAGTTTTCACAATATATGAAATGTCGGAAAATTTGACTCCTGAGCGTGATTTTTGAGCCGAATTCTGACTCTCTGCACCTATTTTCAGTTTCAAATTACGAATTTTTATACCAAAAATATGCCAATTACTGAAAACGGCGATGGGTCATATTTTGCCCAAACCCTATGCAGTTTTCAAAATATCTGAAATGTCGGAAATTTGACTCCTGAGCGTGATTTTTGAGCCGAATTCTGACTCTCTGCACCTATTTTAAGTTTCAAATTACGAATTTTTATACCGAAAATATGCTAATTACTGAAAACATCGATGGGTCATATTTTGCCCAAACCCTATGCAGTTTTCAAAATATCTGAAATGTCGGAAATTTGACTCCTGAGCGTGATTTTTGAGCCGAAATCTGACTCTCTGCACCTTTTTTCAGTTTCAAATTACGACTTTTTATACCGAAAATATGCCAATTACTGAAAACGGCGATGGGTCATATTTTGCCTACCCCCCCCCCCCCCTGCAGTTTTCAAAATATCTGAAATGTCGGAAATTTGACTCCTGAGCGTGAGTTTTGAGCCCAAAAAATTATCTCTGCACCTATTTTCTTGTACATCAGTTTTTTGCCCTTAGGTAAAATATACGCCAAAATGCGTTGTGCTATAAAGAGAACAGGTTGATGAAGGGAGATTGCATAGTCTCTATATAATATTCCTTTATCAACGCCATTTCTAGACCATAAACAAAACATCCTTCTATCTATTATCTCTTGTCAACAGAATGAAGACTATTGATGGTTCAGAATTAAACAAAGACGTAACAAAATGTTGACATTTTGAAACTCTTCACTGAACTATTTTAAGTCTACGGATACACGAACAGGTCCGAGTGTGCTAAACTTTTAATTAATTACCACTTCAATACATAAAAGGGAAATGAAGCTTTACTTGTAACTCTCGACCAATCAGTTGATAAACTCTTGGAAATAATTGTTCGAGACCTTACTGCAGAGTGCACACCATTTAGATAATATTTTAGGGAGTCGCTCATCATGTTAAGGCAGGCGTTGCTGTCCGGCGGGGGGAAAGGGGGGCAAGCTCTCCCTGTTGGCACTAGACTAAGGCAAGCTCACCCTACTGGCACTAGACTAAGAGGCACCTCGGCTCCTGACTGCTTCCGGGGACGATGTTAGCATGTCTTTCAACCGCCTACATCTGTTACTTGTCCCAGGAACAATGTTTACTAGGCTTCCATCTGTTACTTGTCCCAGGAACAATGTTTACTAGGCTTCCAGCTGTTACTTGTCCCAGGAACAATGTTTACTAGGCTTCCAACCGCCTTCAGCTGTTATTTGCTCCCTGG